GCTCCCCGCTTGCTGGGTGTTTTCCCCAAGCGCATTCCCAAAGGGAAGCTGCCTCCTCGCTCCGCGGTGTCTTCAGCCCCCCCCCGAGGTCTCCCTGCCCCCTGGGCTGTCCCAGCCACGGCGCACATCGGCACAAGTGAGCGCGTTTGGGCACGAAGTGAAGTTGTCCTCAGGGGCTGCCACTGGCACCCAGCGCCTCTTTCCCCAGACGGCTTACGTATGGACAGCCCTGCACCTCTGCCCCTGAGGGCCCCCCGGGCTGTCCCGTGGGTGCTGAGGCCGCAGCAGTGAGGGCTTTGCCGCTGAACCCCAAAATGCAGCCGTGTCACCGGCCCTGCTTCGTCCCCTTGAGCGGCTTGAACCACCCTTAGGTCACCTTCAAACCTCTCCTTCCCTGAAGGAACGAGCGCAATTCACTTTGCCCTTCCTTGTCTTTGGCCCAGTATCGGTCGTACCTCATGCGCCCCGATGAGATCTAATTGCTGTGTGGTTTTCTCATCCCCGGGAGAGGTGTCACTGGGATGAAAATAACTTGCAATTAGACCTAACGGTCTAAGCGGTGCTCCTGAGATAAACGCGGTTTGAGAACTCTGTTATTAAGTGGGTATTTGGGGCAAAGAAAGAAAAGGTTATGTCTGCATTTAACATCGCAGTGAGCTCTTCTGCTTTCTGTGGGGTAACCCCACTGGGCACTGCCGAGTTGGGCCCCGTGTTGTGCCCAAAGTAGGGCAATTTAACATTAGTGTAATTAATGGACGTAACCACGCTTTAATGAGAAAGATGACAACTTTCAGTGTGAAGGTTTGCGCTTGCACTGTCAGCAGCCCCCGCCAGGCAGGCCGTGCTGTCAGAGAACAGATTATTTTATTTCTACTTTACGCTTTGGTGCCTCCTCAGCGAACCCGGATTTTATAATTGCTGCGAGAGAGCGGGGCCGCGCTCGCTGCGGCTCTCTGCAGCCGGACGGCCTCGCCATGCCCGCCTCGTGTGGAGTTTAACGCCGCTGAGGGGGTTTACCTCAGCGAAGAAG